TTACTCTTATCCCTAAGTGTGTTAATCCATTGTCCATCACTCAATTCAGGCCTATAAGCCTTTGTGCTGTCATTTACAAAGTGATTTCAAAAATTCTTTCCTTAAGACTTAAACAGTGTCTGCACCTCTGCATATCTGAAAACCAAAATGCATTCATTCCTGGTCTTCAGTTACTAGATAATGTGGTGATAGGGCATGAAGTCTTTCATTTTTTGAATAGACACAACAGTGGTAAAAACTTCTTTATGGCTTTGAAGCTGGATGTTGTGAAAGCCTCTGATTGTGTCGAGTGGAAAGAAGTGCAACTTACTATGATTAGAATGGGTTTCCATAGACTCTTTGTGCAATGGATTATGGCTTGTATCACTAACCCATCTTTCTCCTTCAACATCAATGGAAAGAGCTGTGGCTATATAACTGCTTCAAGAGAGATTAGGCAAGGGGATCCTCTATCCCCTTACCTATTCCTCATTATTTCTGAATTGCTCTCAGCTAAACTCTCAGAGGAATCTTATGTTGGGATATTTAAGGGGATCAGAGTGGCTAGAGAAGGACCAATGCTGACACATCTCATGTTTGCAGATGACACTCTCATATTCAGTAAAGCAGAGGAGGCTCAAACAAGCAGACTTATCCATATCCTACAAGTGTTCAGACACTTCACTGGCTAGAAGATCAACTTTGAGAAATCCACCATTTTTTTCAGCAGAAATACACCAATGGACACTCAGAACAAAATATGCTCCCTCCTCTCAGGCATTAAAAGTCACTCCTCAACCAGGTATCTTGGCCTGCCAGGGGGAATTGGGAAAGCTGATAGAGAGGTTTTTGAGTTCATCCTAGATGTGGTTAAAAAGAGGATATTCAGCTGGAAAAATAAGTGGCTTTCAACTGCTGGTAAAGAGGTGCTCATTAAAGCTGTTTTAAATGCTCTTCCTGCTTTTGCTATGTCTACTTTTGTACTTCCAATTGGCTTGTGTAAAGAAATTGCACAGGTTTGTGGCCAATTCTGGTGGAGCAGGGGTGCAGATAGACAGAAAGGTATGCATTGGGTAGACTGGGTTAAAATCACTCTGCCTAAGAAGCATGGAGATTTAGGGATCCAGGATATCCAGCTCCTTGACTTTGCACTCATTGCCAAGAAATTGTGGAAGCTGGTTACTGAGCCTGATAGATTTGTTAGCAAATTCCTCAAATCCAGGTACTATCCTACTACATCATTATTTGAAGCCCAGAAAAAACAAAATTCCTCCTGGCTCTGGAACAGTTAGTTAAAGATCCTTGAGTCTTGTGCTAAGTGGATATAAATTGTAATTAAAAATGGTTGTAATACCCAATCTGGGATAGACATTGGATCCCTTCCAAAGTTGGCTAGCAGGTGGAGCTCATACCTGGAATTAGTAGAAATATCAAATGTGTTAGAGACTTGATGACAGTTGATGGAACAAGCTGGGATGTTGCAAAGGTGAAGTCCTCATTCCCAGAGGAGTGGAGCAATGCCATCCTGACTATTGACTCCATAGACCACATAAAAGAAGATGGATGGCAATGGAACCTTCATAAAAAAGGTCTATTTTCGGTTCAGTCCACCTATGCCCACCTCATCACTGAGAAGTTCTTGAGGCAATGCAGCCCACAAGGTGGTAGAGACCCTGCTAATGATCTCAGAGTTAGGAACAGAAGCTGGCAGCTCAAAATGATGGGTAGGGTGAAACATTTTATCTGGAGATGCTGTAATGGTGCCCTCCCTGTTGGACTTCAGCTTCAAGCTAGGGGCCTTCAAGTGGATCCTATCTGTGCTCAGTGTGGAGAAGAGGATGAATCTATAAAGCATGTTCTTTTTCATTGCAGGTTTGCCAAAGAAGTGTGGAAGCTAGCACCTGTTAACTGGAATGGACCTGGCAGCCAAGAGTCCTTCAAATCATGGTGGTGGCAAATCTGCCAACTTGATCATTGTGAGATTTCAAAGCCCTCATTCAGTTATCAACATACATACTCTGGTGGCTCTGGAAGACTCGCAATCTTTGGCTCTTTGAACGCATTAGAAGGCCAGCCCCTGTGCTTATCAAAGTGGCTTTTCAACAATGACAAGCTTTCTTGGCTACCAAGAGAGGACCACTCTGCTAGCATTAGGGTGTTGTCTCTGGCCTATGTTTGTGTCTAGTTTTTTGTAATACTATTCTAATTCTGTTTGTAGTTCTGCAGCTTAGTTTTAGTTTTCCTACTTTGTGGTTTTTGTGGATGTTGATCTTGTGGCTATTGGCAAAGGATCAGTCGGGTGTGACTGCTTTGCGTTAGTTTGGTCTGCTGATTTTAGTGTGTTGGTTTGTGATTGTTATCTAGCCCACTCCGAGTGGTGCTCCCATGTTCTCGGCTTTGTATGTTGAACTCTTGTTAATTGGTTATTTATGAGAATTTCTATGGTTTAAAAAAAAAAAGAAGTGCAATGTTCTGAAACTCAATTGCTATTCACTGCCCCCTTTTTACTAGTCACCACCCCTCCAATTTACTCTTTTGCCCTTAACCCTTTTTCATACTCTATCTCTCTAAACTTTCCATCTCTCTAAATTCCCGAACTTTCAACGAGCGATTCGAGCACCAAAAAAAATCCGAAAAAATGTCGAAAAAATCCTACGGCCTCGGCAAAGCATTNAAATTAGAAATAATTATAATAACAATTATAAATTATAATAATAATTATATATTATAATTATAATTATTAAATATTATAATAATAATAAGTTGAATAAATTGTAATTAATTATAAATTGTAAAAATAATATTAATAATATTAATATTTATAAATTATAAATGCTTATAATAATAATATTGTAAGAAATAATAATAATAATTTGTAATGATAATTATAATTAAATATAATAATTTAACTAATAAATTATAATAACTATTATAAATCTCAACAATTATAATTATAATAATAATTAATAAAATTTATATATGAAAATAAAAATGAATTATAATCTATTTTTAGTAGTTATTAGAATAGTTATTACATATGGAAAAATTTAATAATTATATTTCTGATTCAGGGTGTTAGCAGACCTGGACAATCTAATGCCAGGGACGACGACGAGGCGTTCGATGACTATTATGATGGTTCTGGCACCCGACACACTAGAAGTCGGGGTGTCAATGCGCCCGTTCGTCGGGACAGACAAACGTTGATCGATGAGGCTCTGAGGGTACAGACTCTTCAGGCTAGACAGAGTTCGAGACCCCCCACACTAGCACGAGATGGTCCACAGGGTCAGCCAGATAGTTCGCGACCCCACGGAGTCCTCCCGTACGGCGAGCATGGATTTTATTATCCTGGCCAGGCGGGCAATTCGATGCCCCGGCACCAGGACCGTACGATCAGCCGGGATATGCTTTTCCCCGCTACGTAGGGAAGTTGATACCCCCTCGCGCACGCGTATCATTACCTTATGGTCAACAGGGGTATGTTGATGATGAGTCGTACGGCGAGAGGGTGCAGGGTCCAGACGAGTATGACTCGGACGACTCTTCAGATGATCAGGACCACGCACAGCCTACGGTCCTAACCACCCTCGTCCTCCTGTACCGCCTGTTCGTCCAGTACAGCCGGTTCTACAGCATGTTCGTCCGGTACAGGCTATTCGTCCTACACAGGCTGCTCCTCAACGACAGGCTGGGGGGCGTTTTTGCCCATCTTCATCCTCATCAGGTAAATAATTTACGTATTTATTGTTGTTTAACATAAATTATTTTCACTTAATCATAGCAAATTATCGGTACTGTTAGAAAAGAATTATCGGTCTGCTCCTCAACTACGGTATAATTATTTTGTAATTTAGAGGAACCATACAATTAATTAGTTTTTGTCTTTCTAGAATTTCCGCCTGTGCCTCTGTACCGTTCGCCTCTATGGCACTTCAAAAGCCTGGCCGTTTTCTTTTTGTGGCTCGAAATTATTAATAGGAAACCATTCAACATTGCCTGGTGTTTTGCAGCTTCAATAGCGTCCTGAGCACTATTATATAATGTACAGGTATCGAAACGCAGACTGTAATCAACACCATCTCCTCCAAAATCTTCCCATGACTCCTGCTATATAGTACAATATTTATATTTTTAGAACGTGTTAAATTAAGATAATTAATTCTAGCATGTAACATAATAATTTGTAACTCATAACATGATATTATCTAACGTCCAATTTATAGCATAATGAAGTCTAACATGTAACACAATAATTTGTAACTCCTAACACGATCACGATAATATCTAACGTCCAATTTATAATATAATCAACTATAACATGTAACATAATAATTTGTTACTCCTAACACGATAGTCCGTCAATTTTTAACATAACCAAGACTAACATGTAATATAATAATTTCTAACTCGTAACATGATAATATCTAACGTCCAATTTATATTATAATCAACATGTAACATAATAATTTGTAACTCCTAACACGAAAAACGTTCACTTTATAGCATAATTAAGTCTAAAATGTAACATAATAATTTATAACATAATAATATAGTCCAATTATAACATAATTATTTCAAATATATAACATAATAATTTTTTTAAAAAAAAATTTGTCCGGCCTGCCGAACCGGACGGACCTGTTCCGACCGGCCGTCGTTTTCGGACGGCCGGTTCGGACAGGGCCCGTCCGATCGGCCGAACTTTTCGGACGGCTTTTAGCCCGTCCGGACCGGCTAAAAGCCGTCCGGTTCCGGCGGCCGGACACAAAAATTTTCGTACCTCCGAATTTGACGACATTTCATCGTGCACTTTCTTATGAGATGTTTAGAAAAAATAAAAAATGGCAAAATCGTCCAAAGGGGCGATGACTAGTAAAATGGGCCGGTGACTAGTACCACTGAAATTGAAAAAGGCAAAAAAAATTCAAACCGTAC